TATACGGGTGTGTATTTTGATCGTTTTAATAATCATTTTATATTTTTAGACATCATTCATTAACTTACATTACAAGAAATTGTATACAAAACTATTTATAAGTTATAAAATATATGAAAATAATCATAACTACATGCTTTACAAACCAACGGGCAAATAACAATATTTATATATTTATTTTGGTAAATGCTCATATTTTATTATTTCCTGGAACTGTTAGATTATACTGATTATAGAAATGTACAATTATAATTACCCGTATAAAGTACAACCAAATTTTAAGAATAAATAAAACTATAACCGAAAAATTATCTTCCGATTAATATCAGTTCCGGTTCCTAGGAAAATCGAAAAAGGGTTCTGGTAAGGTTCGGTTCCAATATTTTCAATGGGTTCCGGTTAAAATATAAGTATTTTTAATTTCGGTTCCAAGCCCTGGTCTGTAACCAATATACACCAAAGCAAATAAATTGAAATTAATCAAGTAAGAAATGAAATGATAGAATTGTATTAAGAAATTATCCATTCTTTTCACACTATGTTTATGAAACATTTATAAGTCAACTTTGCTGTGTAAGTTCACCAGAGCTAGTATAGACAAATACTGTACACAAAAATACCACAAGTCCCAAAAAACATAAAAATGATGTAAAAACAAATAAATATTATTTAAATTTGGCCTGTGTAGATGAACATGGCCAAATGTCTGAAATATTAGTCAAAAATTTTAATATAAGGAATAACCAAATTACCGTATATCATACTATCTAATCTATACAAAACCACGTTTTTCTTAAAACCATTCTACGGTGACTTACGCCTTACGGCATTTTTGCTTACAACGTCAGTAAAGCTATAGATAATTATTATCAGATGGTCGACAAATGACATAACCAAATCTATAATATATTAAATGGCCAATGAGAAGTAATCTTAAACGTTTAACAATTTGTTTATCCATAATTTTGATAATATGGTTAATGTTGTCATTAAATTTCTATAAGGATATAAATATTAACCACTATAAAATATAAAATACTATGTTTTAAAAGGGGAAAAATAATTTTCAAGAAATTTCAGTCATATTATAACTATTTTGTAGTATTCTCTTATTTAATAAAAAAAATTGTGGCAATTTAGGTACACAAAGCATACAACAATTTCTTGGTACATTCMAAAAATGTCATAATAATGAGATTAAAGTATAACATCAAACAAAGTTAGTAAACACAAATAGTCACAAATAATAAAAATTTAATTTAATATTTAAATATTATTTTTATTTTTAATTATTAACTTTTATGAAGTAAAGGAAGTTCTGAGGATCATGAATATTTGTCAAATCACTATGAATAACTTGTATACTGCTTATGGTCAACCTAAATGATTACATTATAGTTGGTGTACATATACCTACTAAATGGTCAACAAGAAAAAAACAGCCTCACAATAATATTGTAATAAAACATTCCATTAAATTTATCTTGTTTATTGACGTTGATTGGCTTGGCATCTGAGTAGGACGTAAATCTTTTCTTTTATCCAGTCTTTATTATAAGGAGCATATGTCATGGTACTTTTTTGGTACCTAAACATAATTTATAATGAATAAATATGGAGTTACTTAACTTCCAATATAGGTAAATATTATTGACATACACAAGACATGAAAGATCTGCTAAATGGTCAACAAATTCGAACAGCTGAGTTATGTCATAAGTAATAGACACAGACTTTGGATTTAATTTCTTCAGATGTTCTTCATAGATCTTACAAACACCTAAAATAACAAGGCATTAATGTTGGTTCTTACAATGTTTGGTTGATGTTAAGGGTCACATGATAGGTAAAAGTCTGCCAGTAAAAAATTCCACAAACAGTTTGTTAACCGTTAATGGACACTTAACCGGACGTTGTAAGAACTAGCATTGATGTTTATTTTGAAAAGCAAAGACATTAATTTACCTTCCATGCAATCATTAACAGACTCATAATCGGAATATGTTCTTGTTTCCGGTTTGGTCCCTGGTTGAATCAAGAGTATGGTGTGTGACTGTAAAAAATATTTGGAATCAGAATTACATTATTTCTCACTTGATAAAAGCAACAAATGTAAAAACATAATCAATGTTCGGTACCATTTTGCAGATAAAATTCTGTTGAAACGTAAACACAATGCAACGGATTCGACACAAAATACGATTTAACAAGTTGCGGTTATTTGTCAATTAATGATTATACTTATTGGCAGTTATTGCCGTTAAAAGCTTGGATTAATTCACTATGACAGATATAGATAATTGAAATATGGAATGCAACTGAAACTTAGACGAATTTGGATTTGTAATCTAAGATATTACTATGTTATATTATATGATATTATATTATGTGTTTGTGAATTTGTGATATAAATGTAAAATCAATATTTGCTTGGCTTATAATATTTTCAATTCCATTGTTTTTTAACATATAAACCATACCTAACCGCTTTAACCACTATACATACGGAGTTTATTTGTTAATTTATTTTTTAAATAATATAAAAGATACTAAATTAAATAGAAACATCAATTTATTCCTATATTTTAATTAGAATATTTAAAAAAAAGTTTTTATTCAATTTATAATATTATTTAATATTTGATATTGACCACGGTTTAAGATACTATCTTAAACCGTGATATTGACCWCCGCGACCATAGATAACAAGAACTTGACATAAAGTTAATGATTTTTTCTATGGGTTTAATTTTGAGGTTATTGTAATTTTTTTAGAATTGTAAATTATATCCATAGAACTTCTAACTTCTAAGTAATATTGTAATAACTAATAAGTAATAAGTATATTAAGTATAATATATTAACTATTAAGGTCTATGATTATTTCTCTGGTAGTCGCATCTGAAATCTAAATATTTGATATTTATAATATTATAAGTTATAACTAACTTACTCAAAAGTTAGTACTCATTATCTACTCTCGGTCAGGAACTCAGGACTCAAGAGTCAGTTACTATTACTACTATTCTGGATGAAACGTTAAAATAATATTTATTTATATTTCATTCGATTTTTAAAATATTTAATTTCTTTTAAGTTGAAATAGTTATTAAATATGACGACGATACTAGACAGAATCTCGGCCATCGAGGCTGAGGTAAGTAAAACTTTTTTTTAATCTACTTCACAATACTAACAATATTTCAATTTAGATGGCAAGAACTCAAAAGAACAAGGCTACAGCTGGGCATTTAGGTTTGCTGAAAGCTCGTATTGCCAAACTTCGACGAGAACTCATAACTCCTAAAGGTGGCGGTGGAGGTACTGGAGAAGGTTTTGATGTAGCTAAAACTGGAGATGCTAGAATTGGTTTTGTAGGTAAGATTAAATTACTATTTCACAGATGATTAAGATTTTATTGCATTTGTTTCCTTAGGTTTTCCTTCTGTTGGTAAATCAACATTGTTGAGTAATCTAGCTGGTGTTTATTCAGAAGTTGCTGCATACGAGTTTACAACTTTGACCACAGTTCCTGGATGTATTAAATACAAAGGGGCAAAAATTCAAGTAATTAATAATTTGAACTTATTTTGAGTGTAGATTATCTGAGCAGAAAAAAGAAGTCTATTTATTTTAGAACATTTACAAGTTGATATTTGTTGTACTTTTTAAATAAAAGAAAAACTATTTACAAATTTAAATTAAAATTTACTAGTTTTAAATTGTTATTAAAAATCTTGATTTGTCAATTTATTGATTATTATTAAACCTTAATCAATTTTATAATAATTCCAATCATAATATTTCTGTTCTCAAAAAATATCAAGAAATATTGACCTTATGTTGTATATTTACTGATAGCTTTTAGATTTGCCTGGTATCATTGAAGGTGCTAAGGATGGTAAAGGTCGTGGACGACAAGTGATTGCTGTGGCTCGTACATGTTCATTGATTTTCATTGTTTTGGATGTTCTTAAACCATTAAAACATAAAAAATTAATTGAACATGAATTGGAAGGATTTGGATTAAGACTTAACAAATCACCACCTAATATAGTCTATCGGCGAAAGGATAAGGGTGGAATAAATTTACAAACCATGGTATTAAGCATTGTTAGAAACTACTTAGACTTTGATTTAAAATTTTGGATTTTTGTTTAACAGGTGCCACAAAGTGAATTGGATTTAGATACTGTAAGAACTATATTATCAGAGTATAGAATACACAACGCTGATATTACTCTTAGATATGATGCAACATCTGATGATCTTATTGATGTTGTTGAAGGAAACCGCATATACCTACCTTGTATCTATATACTTAATAAAATTGGTTTGTATTTTGTTTATTTAATAATATTAATTTATAAACTATTGTTAAATTATTGAACAATATTTAATATAATAACTTTATTTTATTATTATTTGGCTGTAGATCAAATAAGCATAGAAGAATTGGATATTATTTATAAAATACCTCATACAGTGCCTATAAGTGCTCACCATAAATGGAATTTTGATGACCTTTTAGAAAAGATGTGGGAATATTTGAAACTAGTTAGAATGTAAGTAATGTTTTTATACTTTATTTATACCAGTGGACAGTAATGTAATTAAAATTAATATTCTATTCCCAAGTAAAATTAAAATTAGCCTTTTAAGATGTGGTATAAACAATTGTTTTCATAATTGTAGAGTAAATGTACAATATTATATCATACTATATAATATATGCTTTGTGCAGGATTTTGTATTTTTTCATTGGTGGTAATCAAAGGAGAATTGAGTTAAGTTTTAAAGAGGCTTAGCCCTAAGTAGAGATTTGGCATTGACTTGATGAATAAATCACAATTTAAATATTGTCCAAAATATCCATTAAAAATAAATCTATAGAATATTCAGATTTTATGGCATGATTGTATAAATATTAATCTTTATTTCAAAGTAATCTATTATACTAGATATCCGGTTCTTCAAACCAATAACATATAGCGGCCATATGTAACTGATAGAACAATGTATATAAAGATTTCTTTTTGTGATGAGAACTATAATTTATGTCAGCAAGATAACCAATATTCACTAATCACTAATCACTATCAAATATATCAATTATTATATACTGGTATTTAACATCAGTTTGTAAACATTGCCTTAATTTAAATTAGAGTGTACAATAATATGTGGAGTCGGTTATCTAGTACAACGTTTCTCAATCTGGAGGTTTGCAATCACCTTAACTATACGAGTTATATAGATCAAAAACAATAAAACCCTGATTTATAAAATGAACCTTTTTTTTTATTGGAAAAATTAATTTTATTAAAATAATAAAATAACTATATACCAAAAAATGAATAAACATTATAAATTATATAATTAGTATGATCAATGAATTTGTTTTAMATTTAAAAAACTTATTTTATTTATTAATTGATATTCAAAATAGTATATTTTGTTTGGTTAATCAGTTAATGTTAATGATATGATGTTTCATAGGGGGATCATAACTCGCAAAGTGATTAACCATATTTTATACCTATTTTTGGGGTCATGACACTAAAAAGGTTGAAAAACAATGAATTCTAGTATAACATATATTATATCTGTGAGTGAATTTCTAAGTACTAATAATATTATCTACAGAAATAAAATTATAATGATCAATCCCGTTCTGCTGTTGTAGCTTTGTATCTGACATCAACTTAAGTAATCACTAGTAAAAAAAAAAAAATAATAATAATAATAATACATCATTAACTAACAATAATTTGTTGTGTATATAACTATGTAGTTATACCAAGCCTAAAGGACAGTTGCCAGATTACGGATCTCCAATTGTTTTGCATAATGAAAGGAAAAGTATTGAAGATTTTTGTAATAAACTTCATCGCACCATCGCCAAAGAATTTAAATAGTAAGGCAATATTATACATTTTTTTCCTTATAATTTATTATTTATGTTATGCTTAGTGCTCTTGTGTGGGGATCATCTGTTAAACACGTGCCTCAAAAAGTTGGAAAAGACCATGTACTGGAAGACGAAGATGTCGTGCAGATTGTTAAAAAAATATAAATATAATATTTTAAATTTAAMAACAATAAAATATGTTATTTTTTAATCATCTTTATTTTCACTATTCCCGAGTATTTATATTTTTGCAGTTCTAGATGTTGATAATTCTCTATCACATGCCATAAGATTAGAATCTTCATCATTCAACATTAAATAAGAATTTGTATTCTATCATTGTCTGATTACAACCACAGATAAGCTGCTCTATTAACTAAAACTATAAATTAATTTTTAATTAATCTATCAGATATACCTACACCTTACCTGAATTTATATCTCTTCAAATCCATTTTTATTGACATTTGTTGTATGATAGCACTTCCAATAGTGCTCTATTGAACAATTTGAGATGTTTTGAGTATACAACATACAACAAGGTGCTTTCTGGTGGACTTTATTATAATATTATATTACATAAGGAATAATTTAATATTAATTTGTAGATTAATAAATATATCTGAATAAAACTAGCAGTTTCATTTTTTTATAGTAATATTTGTTTCATACCTATTCAATATGTTGAATATGATAATGACTAATAAGTAATAACTATCAATCACCATTAATATAGAGAGCCTTTATATTTATCAAGGCTCTTTACATTAATGTATTCAAATATCAATTTTCAGTATCAAAAATTATACAATGCTACTAGACCCTGTACAAGTCTGAAATTATTAAGTGTGGTATGATATGCTGGTGACTATTAAGAAACAATTAATATACAATTTGGAGACATATTGTTGCTGTCACAGGACTAATAGTAGGTACCTATGTTTGGCCGGAACGGTAACTTCTCCCAGATGATATATCAAGGAGATGCCGGAGAAGCAAAGGCTTGCATTTGGCAGGATGGTGGAGACGATATTTGGACAGAAGGAGGCTGCAAAGCGTGTTAGGCATGCAAGAGGTGGACAGGTAGAATGAGAAATGTTGTTTTCTGTGGGCCGAAGGTCAGCTTTTTTTGAGAATTGTTATGTTGGTGAATAAACGATACAGAAACAGGGCAGTATTGTGATGAACATTTCCCACCCATTCCTAGTTTTTGGACAGAAAAAAAAGGTACGTATGTTTAGTATAATTGAAATGCCTGGAGTTGAAATAAATTTACTAGCTTGTAGATACAGTGTTTTTCTGTTTTATTCAACCACCACCTGTATAATAAATTAATAAATAAATAAATTTATATTATTAGCTAACGTTTATTCAATTAAATAATTTCATGTACCATTTACTAAAATAGGTAGTGAAATTTTAAACATTTATTTCGTGGTGTTATTGGCATTGGCGCACATACGGGGGTGCTTAGCACCCCCAAATTATTTTGAATTAAAAATTTAGTTTTAAGTGTAATTTTGCATTTAGAATGAGTTATTTCCAGTTTATATTGGTAATGCAATAATTTTTACTAAAAATGTTGTTTTCGTATACTGCAATGCCTATTGGAATGATGATTTATTGATATGAAAATAATGATATAAACTAAAATTATTTAGTTTGATACTATAGAAATTTTCAGCCATCTATTCTTAGTTAGTAGTTCTTTAATATGGTGTTTTTTATTCAGTGACAACTTCACTGATATTAAATTATTGTATTTTATTATTATTTCCATTTTTCTGCATAAATACCAACAATTTATTAATTCAATGTCAAGTAATAAATGTAATATTTTATATTATTCACATTGTATTACTTGTTTCAATATTTCCAGTACATTTAAATTGGGTAAAATAAAAAATGATGAAAGTAGTGAAAATGTAGACAACCCTAATATTAACACTTGTTCATTTAATAATATTATAATAGTCGTTATAATAATCGGTTATAGGATATATTGAAAATCAGATTCATTAATTTGAGAATTTTTATGTATTAATGTAGTAATTTTTTGAAATAGTAAGTGTAACCGTATAGGTGGTGTGTGGAGAGCAAAGTCTCCCACTAGTCACTTTGAGGTAAAATATTTTAGCACTCCCAAGTTTAAGACTGAATGTGCGCCTATGATTATTGGTATCCGTATCTGATTGTGTTTTTATTCGATAGGACGATAGATGCTAATAAATATATGTAACTATCTATAAAAATCATAAAGCTAAATACTTTTAGTATATGTTTTAGAAAACGTACATAATCAACCAATATTCTTCTAAAGATCGACTGGATGTATATGTAATATGTACACTTATTATACATTTATACAATATTTATCAGTTCCAGTGGCTCCCTCCTGTCCGAAATGTTTTTAAAAGTTAAATATTTCAAAGTGAAGACCTTTTTTTAAATTTTTCTATATGAATACCTCTCCCGAAAATAGATCCTAGTGGCGCATCTGGTTAGTACTATTAATATCAGAAAAGTATCATACATTAAATAAACTTATTTAATTAGTGATAGTATTCACTTTTTGACAATTATAGAATTATAGAATGTATTTTGTTATATTGATTTTTTTATTACGCTTATCGATTAGATTTGGATAATATATTATCTCAGTTACATAGGGAAAATTCTAGCTTGAAAATTCAATATGACCAGGAAACCGACCAAACAATTTTAGCAAGTAAATACATTCGAATAAATTAAATTCATTTTTCGATTAGACCTGCCAGACCTGGCCACAAATAATGTTTTGAGACTTTTGGGAGGTTGAAGCTGAGAGCTTAGCCTCCAGCCACACTTATTTGTATCTATGGGCATGGGTGAATTGCATCTAAAAGTAATTGGTGAACGAATAAAAATAGACTTAAAATTTATATTGATCTTAGTCGTCCACAAACTATAAAAAAAGCTGGACGGTTTTGAAACAAAAGAAAGTCACGTACCTACACTTGATTTGAAAATCGGTATTTACTTTTAATCAATTTATATTTTTAACAACTAAATACTACCTATTTTTCATAGAAATATTAACAAGTTAATTTACCTGCTATTATATTCCCAAAACTTTTATTGTAATTTTATTTTATTTTTTTTTTAAACGGGAAAGTGGATGTCACTCTGCTGTATAGTAGCTGGTTACAAGTGGGTATTACTGTATATAAAAAAAAAAACGTGCCTACATGCATTTTTAATATTTTCCAACTGATATTATATCAACTTATGGGGGACCTTGTATTAAATTTTCAAGTTTTTTGACCCAACGAATAAAATGTTATTGTAATTAATAAAATGAAAAACTAAAAAAAAAAAACAGAAAATTTCAAATGTCTATAAATAATTTAGAAAATATTAAAAGTATAGGAATTAATGAAATAAATATATGGTGTAAGTTTAATGTTTCTACATTCTACAGTTATTCTTTTTTGAATAACAAAAAATAAGGATATTGGTATAAGATCATCGGTACCTAATGGCTAACGACTAACGAAAATTGATGTAAATATACGAATACCTAACGAGTTATATTATTATTTTTAGTAAAATAGGTACATAATATTTTACTTGTTGTGCTAACTTGCTTGATCAGATAGTAGATACTAGATGAATATATGTTTATAAAAGTGCTTGGTGTGGCGCCGGCCGTGTAATATACTAATGTCGTACAATCAAGTCCGGAAACSGTCCGAGTTTACGTATCAGCCGCGGTGTTGTTAGCTCCCAGATGGGTGACCATTCTTGGCTTTTTAGCAACAAGCCAACAAATCCTTGTCATACATATGTCACGTGTCCAAACCAACCGTTCCCCTCTCTCCAAACAGCTAATGATCATAGTTTTCAGGCTTATGAATTATTCATACATTTTTTAATTGATTCATTTTTAAATAATAACAAAAAATAATTTTAATAATAATTTTTAAATATTAACAAAATTAATTCGTAAATCCTATAGGTACAGTGCATCTGGTGCTTGTGTGCTAATACGTCTCTGTTTTTCAGACACACATGTTATTGACCCGGGAGAGTTTATAAGTTTAAAAAATCGACAGAGTTTACTGCCACCTTTTTATTACACGTCGTGTACGTTTATAAGACGAAGACAACACATTTATGCATGCAGGTATGGTGTTCTTTCAATGGCAAATGGCAATAACAGATTAGACAACCTTAAAATAATACTATGAATTTAATCTGGGCTCGGACGCACGATCTTAGACCGTGACGACTGACGATTAAAAGAAAAAATAATAATATTATGTGGAAATCAACCACTCTACTTCTGCTTTATTAGTACTTTCATTGTTGATATTTGATAATAATTAATATGATATACATATACCTAAGTGATATAATAACAAGTACACTGAACACGAAATCTATAGGTCGGATTAATAATGTTCGAACTATGAAAGTTCATAGGCCAAACTAACTTATAGTCACTAGGTAGATAGTACACTACATATAGTAGGCACCCATAATTATGCTAAGTAGACAAATTTATTTGGATTTATTTATTGTTCAGTAAATATTAGGTACCAGTTACCAATTCCAAACCAAACATCACGATTTTAGATTGGATTATAGGAATAATATATCTAACTATTTTTTAAATGGATCAAGTAAGAGTAAATAATATAAAGTAACGTTACGTATATGATTTATATAATATCATTTTTAATTTATGAAATTACAGTTAGACAAAGTCGTGGCAGCATATCGCGTGACCGCACAATATCCGGAATTATTATCTGCTAGAATACTTAATAGCTCAAAAGCTTCTGTTAATGTTCATTCTGTTTGGATTCAAAAAGTTTTGGAGAGGCAATCAGTAACCAAGTTCCGGCAAACTGTATTTTCAGATTTTAAGACTTATACCTTAACATCTCCGCCGACCGACATAACAAATGAGTATAATCACACATAAACCATAGTAGCATTATCCATGAATACCTACGTATATGACAAACCTATTAAATAATAAAAAATAAAATAAATAATATGCATTTAGGTTGATAAGCGCGCACTCAAAATCAACTAAGTATTTTTGTGTGGTTAGAGAAATTGAATCTGGAAATGAAATAAAACAGTACTTAGAAGTATGGGATGAATGTTCTCTGGTGAAAAATTATGACTTGAGTGCTTTAGATGTGCACGGAAAAATTTATACTGATGGTTAGTATGATGATTATAATATTTACATAATAAATTTATTATTATACATTAAATTTAATGTGATTTGTACATTCTGATTATTGATTTATAGCTGAATTTGGAACTCTAGAGTGGTCTCCTGATGAAACAAAAATTGTGTATATTGCGGAGAAAAAAGTCCCAAAGTCAGAACCGTTTTACAAACAAAAACCAAAAGCATCCGCTGATAAAGATGGGGTGCATAAAAGTGACACTGTGCCGGTTTGTCTACTGATCATTTTTACTACTGTGTGTAGTATTTGTTTCTTAATTTTAATAATAATAACAATGTATATGTAGGGTAAACAATATGATTGGAGCCAAGATTGGGGTGAACAGTTGGTCGGAAAGATTACTCCAGTTTTGGTGGTATGTGATATAAAAACAGATACTATAGATGTTCTTCCGAATATTCCAAATGATGTTAATCCTGCAACTGCAACATGGACACCTGATGGAAAAGGAGTTGTGGCAATTGGACATACAATCACTGCTCGTAAATTGGGTCTAATTTACTGTGCTAATAGTCCTAGCATTGTATTTTCTCTCACATTAGATGGCCAATATGGTTAGTATATATATTGTTGTTTATTATATTAGGTACAAATTTATTTAAAATTGAAATATTACCTATTATTATATCATTTATTTTAAATTTAGTTTTTTATTACATGATTTGTTGTATAGGTATATGCCAAAAATCTAATTTTGAATAGTCCTTTTGCAAAATCTCTCTACCTATGTAAAAAATACTCATTTTTAGTAAAAAAGAATAGTAAAATAATAGAATAGAGATATCGAATATTACCTACCTATTGTAATATTATGGTTAATAAAGGAGTAACAAAGGTATTATCATTGATTATAGAATAGAATAGTCTATTCTATAATCAATGGTATTATATTTTCAAATTGATAACTATTCATGGGCGTTCCCAAACATAGATGAAGATATTTTTATACATTTAATGCTTTCATTTTAAAAGTAATCTATGTTTAATAAATTGGCACATTACAGATAATGCTTTGAAAATCAAATTTAAAATTTTTGGGGGGGAGGGGGGTAAGTCACAACTTGCATGTGACCCTTCTTGCCTCCCCTCCCCCGTGGACGCTCATGTGGATATTCTTTATTTCTGTTAAATTGCTTGTAGTTACTAATGGTTGGAAGAAAAAAAGTTAACAATTTAATCAATGGTTATTCATGATTAATTTTGTATTTTAAATATATTATTTTATGATTCTAAAATATATTTTATAAATGGTGTACTTTGAGAGTATAATAATTTTATGTAATATCTGGTACCTGTTTGGGTGGTATAAAATATAAATTTTACTATTTATCATTTTAAGCTTTAATTATAATTTCATACCATATTATAAGTATATTTATATATATATATATATAATGATTATACACTATATAGTTATTATTCTATTGCATAGATGTGTTGAGTTCTAATTCAGAACAATTATGTGTGAAGTTTCCCAGGTTCAATTTGAATGGCACAAAGCTTGTGTGGTTAGAACGCTTAGCAGGTGGGCCACATAATTCATGCTTTAAATTGATCTCTTTCAATTGGTCAACAAAAGAGGTTATTCCATTAATATTTTGTATATTATTTGTGTGAAAATTACGCTAAACACCATAAATTCATATAATTATTTATTATAACTTTAGATTACTACGGTTGTTGATTTTGACAATCAAAAAGTCCACAATAATGATGTTGATCAGAATGAAAATTTACCATTCTATGGCCTATATGATCTACTACATCATATCAATATATTGCCAAGAAATTGTTGGTTGAATGATAATAAAACTCTTGTATTGAGTACTCCTCAAGGTGGTTCGATACATACATTCGCTATTAATACTGGTAATAGTTGTACTTTATTAACTGGTAGTTGATTCATAGGTTTATGTTAAATACAATATTTTTGAAATCCTGATTTTTAATTATTTTTCAGAAACCAAAGTAATAAGTTATCTTCCAATCACCAAACCGTTTCATGAAAGTGTTAGTGTAATAGATATTTGCAATAATATTTTGGTGTGTTATAAATCATCACTTAATAAACCTGGACAATTATTTGCAATCAAACTGCTTTCTACATTTGAAGCATATGATTTTACCAATGTTTCCATCCATGAAATTTCACCGTCCCATAGTCTTCCTAATAGTGAAAACTTTGTTGTTGAGCATGGTTATACTCTTTACAGTAAGATCCTTATAATTTAAATTAATTACAGAGATTTAAAATAAATATTTGATTTATTTATAGATAAACCAACTACAATTTTCTATGGGCCAAAAAACAATAACTGTCCTTTGATTATATGGCCTCACGGAGGTCCTCATTTATCATCTTTAGATTTTTTTAGAGCTGATATTGCATTCTTTGTCCAGTTAGGTAATGACAAGTTAAAATAATATTTTGATAACCATTTTTTTTTTCTCTTAGTTATTACTTATTTGTTTTTATTAACATGTTACTAGGTTTTGCTGTATTATTTATAAATTACAGAGGATCTACAGGGCTGGGTAAAGATTATGTTGAATCATTAATAGGTAAAATTGGTGATTTTGATGTCAAAGATATTTATAATGCACTTCAATATAATCCTTTGTGGTCCAATAGAAAATTAGTGTTATTTGGTGGTTCATATGGTGGGTTTTTAGTTACATATTTGAGTGGACAGTATCCAGTGAGTATAAATTAGGTACTACAGAGAATACTTAATAATGAATTGTATTTTAATTTAAATTGTACACTAATTAAACAATTAATATTTAATATGTTTTATTATTTAACAATAGTTTAATGCACACTAATAATACATTAAAGTTTCCCATGCACGGGAAACCTTTATCAATTATAATTTATATTAATTAATGGAATAATTTAATTGCAGTCTGAGTTTAAAGCAGTGTGCGCTTTGAATCCTGTTACTGATTTGATTGCTATGTTTGGGTCAACTGATATTCCTGAATGGTACGTTTTATTTATAGCAAACATTTTTTTCCTTGTAAACTGTTTTATCTAAAAAAACATTTAAAGCTTTATCAACTAGAATTCTTTGTATTGATTTGCTATCACTATTTGATACTTCTGATTGCTATGTTGTATACTTGTTTTGTTGTGTTTGTAGTAGATTATATCACGTAAGAAGTTTCATTTTAGACTTAATTTAAGAGTGTAATATTAGTGTAGGTATATAATATTAGGATGACATTAAACTTAATAAAATAAACAATTAATTAATTTTATTTGTTTGTAGGACCATTACAGAAGCTGGTTATAATTTTTCTGAAGTAGATAGCTTGGCAAATTCTAAAGATATTTTAATGAAATTAGCAGATTGTTCGCCGTGCAAAAACGTTCATAAAGTTCAAGCTCCTACACTTTTATTACTTGGTGAAAAAGATTTACGTGTTCCTTCATCTCAAGGTCTGGCATATTACCATCTTCTTAAGAAGAATGGTGTTACTGCTCGGTAAATTTACTTTAAATACTAATTTGTAATTATTACTATGGTCAATATAATCAAACTAATAATTTTTTATTTAGAGTGTTGATGTATGATGATTGTCATCCATTAAGTACTGTTACTGCTGACATGGATAGTTTGATAAATGCAGCATTATGGTTTATCAAATATTTAAATAGTGATTCTGAAAATTCAATTATCTAAATAAATCATTCCTTATTTTATTGTGAAATGTAATTGCATGCTTTTATAAGTACAAAAAATAATCCTTAGAACTATAGACAGTTTAATATATTATTATATTTATATAATATTTTTACAATATTTTCATGTTTAATCAAACTTTTGGAGTATATTTTACAAGGTATTATAATAGACTATATTATTCATGATTTTTAGAACACTAAATAATCATATAATTACATTTTAAGAATATATAGATTTTCTCTCTGGTAATAACAAAAAATTAAATTTATCATATAATGCACAATTCACCCTTTTAATTATGCTACTCTTATACTTATAGTATAAAAATATAAATAAATAAATTTTTTTGTATCTTTATTCACAATATTTTTTAATAAATTACAGGAAAATAAAAATACTTAATACTAAAGGAGGTTAGGTGTTCATGTAAAAATACATATGGTAAATATTTCCTGTCAATTATAAATATAATTTTAGTCTGAAATATCATATACTCAGTGGCGGTGTGAATAGCTATTTTTTGAAGCAGCCGTCTCGTTTAAAATAGGAGGTGGGAATCCCAATGACCCAATGACTTGCAGTCTTCAAGACCTAGACGGCTAATCTAGGTGTTAATTTATGCTCAAATATTCACATATGACCTGTATTTAAAATGAGTAAAAGGTAAAGTATAAACTGTTTAAAATGAATAATTATTATAATATGATTATTCTTTTCATTCATTGAATAAATTATAATTGTCTAGTACCTTGGTTTTGGGGATAATCTGTTAAATACATGACTCATAAATATATGTATTTTAAATTATCCATTGATCAGTTGTCACTATCGACACTATCACTATGATTACTTCCTAGTTTTTCAGCTCTGGAAGTTGATAGTTCTCCATCGGATGCCATTATATTAGAATCTTCTTCATCGTCCAACATTAAATCAGAATCTGTTTCACTGTCTGATAAGCGGCTAAACATACCACGGTTTCTACTTGTAGCAGCACTACTAACTGAAAGTGTAAATAAACAGTTATCAATAAACAATAATTAATCTCAATATTATATTATTTTAAATTGCTGAAAATATTAAAAACAATTTTCATCATGAATATTCTTTATTTGAATTTCATAAATTAAAGGATATTTCGTTATTTAATTTATTTTGGTAGGTATGTGCAACACGTATTATCAAATATTATTACGTTTTATACGAATATGGTAAGTTATAAATAATTTAACCAATATTGAGTATAATATTTTATTCTACTTACCTCTTCCTTTAATACTAATATCTGGAGTATTTTCTAAAAATTGGTTGTTATACTGTTCATTATTGACTTCTTCCAATAGTTTTAAATCATCGTCTTGTTTATTGTTTTCAATAATTTTTTTTGCCATTTCCTTATGTAAATAAAAAATATTAACTCATATTTTAATCGCTTACTATTAAGTATAATTTACTTGTTGTTGTTGTATGTGTATTAGTTCTGCCTGAGCGACCTGTTCTTGTTGATACTCTAAGTAACTTATACATCTTTGTCTTGTAATATATTCTTGATATAAATTTCTAAGTTCAAATTCTAAGTCCTCAAATTCCTCTAAAAATGCTGGCCTTTAAAGTTGAAACAAAATATTTCAAAAGGAGAAAATAGGTAACCAGTAGGTATTGAATGTACCTTGTCATTGCTATTAAAGTAATTTATTTTACTATTATTAATACAGTAAGTTAAATTAATTTTGCCGAAAACTTTGAATTTGAAAATCACATTGTATGTACAAAATATAATAATATACTTTAAAAGTTGCAAGTAAGTAGATTAGTAGATTACACATGAATGGCATTAAAATTACATCAAAATAACTAAAATTGTTATTCTATGTTCGAATATCCAATTTTGTCTAGATTTCAACTTAAAATCTTTCATAACTTTTATACATTTATTAGATTTTTTGGTTAAAGCATGAACTATTAATGAGAAACTTTGACTTATAATTTCAGTCCGTAGCCATACCAGTAAATAATTTTTTTAATTTCTAACTACAAAATTACTTGCAAATTTTTGTGATTTATTATAATTTGACTTTATGTCTTTAATTTTAGATTCTGAACGAAGTGATGAATGTATTGATTTTACAATGATGTGTGTTTTTTTTTTGTGTCTGTTTAACTAGTCGAAAATATAATGCTTCAATTTCAAACTTTGGGGATGGTTTCCGATGTAAAAGTGAAAATCCTTGGTGCATTGTAGAGGTCAAAAGTAAACATTTTCCAACAGTTTCCACAAAAAAAAATGACAGAAAAACGGGAATTTTTACGCAAAACCAGTTTTCGACCAAATCGATTTTTTTATATGCTTGTAATTCAAAAACTAATCACTATATAAATACTTGAAATTTTCACCAAATGTTTATGTTAGTGATATCTATATCTACAGTTTAATTTTCAAAAATTTTTGACTTTTTTTGAGAATTTTTTTTGAAGTGTCGATAAAAAAATGTTGGATGACCAAAAAAACTTGAAAATTTAATACAAGGTTCCTTATGAGTTGTTCTTATTGTAGATAAAAAAAATTAAAAATCGTTAGTCACAATTTTTGGGTTTATTACTAAGGATTAAAAATACAACACTAAGTTTTCCATAAGTTTTCCTTCAAGTGGCTATAGAGTATAGAGAAAACTCTAAGCATCATTATAGGAAAACTTTTAAGTGCGTTTGAATTTTAAAATTTTACGAAATAGCGTAACGATAACGATTTATCCTCAAATGATTTTAAATATTTGTTATTATTCAAAAAGTATAAGTCGTAGATACTKGAAAATTTYACCRGTTATTTAGATTGGCATTTTCTTTACATGATTTAATTTTTAAAATATTTTGACTTTTTTTGAGATATTTATAGACAACTGAAATTTTAAATTTTTCTGAAAATTTTTTTTTGAAGTGTCGATAAAATATTTTTGGCCCCTATATCATAATACTTGAAAATTTAATACAAAGTCTCTCATAGGTTATTCTTATAGTGATTAAAAAATGATAAGAATACATAGGCACATTTTTTTTTATTAGCATTTGAAGTTCAAATATTGACAAAAATTCGTCAAAACCATGAATATTTTTTTTATGTCTGTCATCACGTTTTGGGGCAGTAAAAGTGCTTCGATTTTTGACTTCAGTACCTTATTCGATCAGGAAATGAATCTAGTTGGTATTTTGGGGGTCAAAAGGAAAAAATTCTTAATATTTTTCTAAATAAACAAACTAAAAATTAAGGGAAAAACAGGAAATTTTACGTACAATCATGGTTTTCGACAAAATCGATTTTGATTTTTGATGTAACTTTAAACCAAATGACCATTGATACCATTGATATGTATATCTATGATAATATAAGGTATTGTGAATAAATTATAATAACTACATTCAATGTTTTTGGAAAAAATGATTAACCATGCCTTATGCAAAATGTGTCTTAATTGAAAAATAAAATATTTGTTTCAAAATAGAATATATGACAATATTTAAATATAATATATCCTAGACTGACAAATCATCTCCGTTCAGAATCGTTTTTCGTATACAATGATACCTATCATTGCACTCAAATCTAAYCTACCCTAGTCAGAGGTCCACCCCACCACCTAATGTACAGCAGAGCGATACCCACTTTCCCGCTTTTTTTTAATTTAATTAAAAAAATCAGTTTCTTCAAACATTGGATTTGAGTAAAAATTTATAAAAAATCACTTTTTGGTGGGAATTTTCAATTAGACCTCTCAAAAATACCAAATAAATCCAATTTGTTATCAAAAACCAAACTTGTTATTGAAAGTTTAAGCATTTTTTTGTTTACTTAATAATAATTAATCATAAAGGATATTTTATGTGTTGTATTATTTATAAATTATATGCATACATTTTCTAATTATTTACCTCACTTGTTTCAATGTTTGAAGTCTCTTTGAATTTCTTTTTAAATCTTCTCGTCGTTTTGAAATTTTTGCATCCAGGTTTGCTTCGGACGCTGAAATATTTTTTAACAAATCTCTAGTATGTTGAGTTTCTTTTTTTGTTTTCTGGATTAGTGTCTTAACACTTTGTTCAACTTCATTAATATCCAATGCAGCATTAACTCTACTGTCTCTAATTGGCCGTAGTTCGCTTTCTTCTTCTAAAGAACGAAATAAAGCAGCACCTTTTTGAGTAATTTTTGATGCCAATTCTCTTATCGTTTTTAGCTCATTGGCCTAACATAATATTAAAAATACATTTTATCAATCGTACAAATGTCCGTTAGAAATTAGATTTAAAATAGAATACTTTGTAAGTTAAGTTAGTTTCCAATTTGGTGAAACCTTCATCCTCGTAAGTTTGTTTTTTATTTAATGCATCATAAAGTAAATCAGTTATTTTCAATAGCTCACTTACTGCATTTCGATCTGCTTGATACAGTTTCTTTACATTTAATTTTACGTTTGTTTTAAGAATCTAAATGACAATATTTTATTTTTTGGTCACATTTTCTTAATAATGTATAGAGTTAAACTTATATTTACAAAAAATTCAACAATCGAGCGAATGAAATAAACTCGTTGTTCAGATGTATGAATTTCTTGTGGTAGATTAGTGTCTGGTTCAAAACGCAGAGCCAGCCAAAATAAAATTTCAGAAACCAAACTGAAATTTGGACTATGAAAGCTATCCATAGATATTTGTTGAAGATATCCTAATGATCGCATGACTTCAGTGAAYTCTGTAAAAGTAGGTATAATATATAATATATTGTAAGGATTGTTTTCGACTCAGTTTTTGATAAGTAGGTATGAAGTTATACCGTTATCAATATTTTAGTAAAAATTTCAATTACTTACTAAATAAATCCCTGTAAGACATATTAATATAATTATATTGTAAATATATTTATTATAATTCCTTAACGAGCAAGTAGGTTATTGTTGAGTTGTAGTGCAGTACTATATGCTAATGGTCAAAGGTAAAAATTATTTGTTGTTGCTTTCTGTTGCTATGGCCCTATGCAGGGTTGGTAAGTTTATGTAATTTCAGTGGTGGTGAATAGGGTCTATTGTAAATTACAATATATTTATATTATATTTTATATATACATTAACACTAATATATGAATAGGTACCTACTTACTATTTCTATAAATATTGAATGACAACAAATTTGTACGAGATAGGTACTTACTAGGTACTACCTAGGTTATATTTTGTTGATTACTATTGTCTATTCTAGTTACTTAGACTTATTATATTTACAAATTTATAATTATCTTGGTAGGTATGTTGCAACATGTATACATTTGTGAAGTTCATCTCAGCTTTGTATAAATGTGTTATATACTCTTTCAGTTAAGTCCGAAAGGTAAATTTGTTGTAAGAATTCGTTCACTTACGGGTTGTAAATCAAATACTACACAAAATCTGTTTAACTTTAAAGAAATTATTTTATTAATTATTTTATTATATGAATATTTTAACGACACAGTATTGTACGAATCGGTTACTTATTCACGACTGGCTTTTGCTTATTCTACATTCTTGTCTTTGCGACGCAGTCGCTTACAAAAAAAAAAAACTATATATTATTATTGTTTAATATGCTTACTAATCTAAAGTGTGTGCAAGGGTTCCTAACAAATGTAATTAAGATAGATGTAATAGATATATTTTATTTTATTTTATTTTTTGGAATAATTCACTAGGTAGCTAGTGGCAAGATCGCAAACTTTATATATTAAAAAACAATGATTAAAGTTTGAAAAAATCAAAAAAAAAGTGGACAAGTATGTAACTATGTAAGGGTACCTATAACCTTTCTGTTTAGCTTGCTACAAAATAATAAGTGTCAACTGTCGAATGCACCTTTGAATTGAGTTGGTCAATTTTAAACTACGATAACGTATGTTTTAAATTTAAATTTAATGATAAATAATTACAAACAAACCTATGAAAAACAATTCTGTGGAGACGGCCTGCAGACGCCAGTCTATATTATATTACTTACCATTTATTTTACAGTAGGTAGGTATGTATATTATAAAATCATTGGTTTTACTACCTACCTAAATATACGGTGAATTATTGATTCCGCCGAAACTACCGGTTTAGAAAAAAGGTTTGTATCGATTCCGCCGGCTACTGTATAAAATATCTACATATCGATTCTGCCGGCTACTGTTTAAAATATCTACATATTGATTCCGCCGGACACTGTTTATCCCCCCTTATTGTATATGTATTTTACATAATAATAATTAAAAAAAATAATAATTGTATAATTCAAAAATAAAATGTATATTATAATTAATTCGTGTATGTGAATATAATATAAAATATTAAAATGTATATAATATGTACTATAGTCTGAATTGTATAGTCTTGTACATAATGTAGGACTGTAATTTTAAAAATACATTTACAAATTACAAGGGCGGGATAAACAGTAGCCGGCGGAATTAATATGAAAATAATATTAATAGTAGCCGGCGGAATCGATATGTAGATATTTTAAATTTTTAAACAGTAGCCGGCGGAATCGATATACGCCCAAATATACATTTAAATTATTTAATCTTTTTTTTTTTTGATATAATTTGTAATGCCCAAATACACTTATGCATAAGGAAAATCTTGTATCAAATCTTCAAGCCTTTGGTGATAAAATTAAATATTTTACGAATTTTATACCTAGTTCAAGATTATAATTTGCAAAATATCATGAATTTGATTAACTTTGTAAACATTTGAACGTTGAATGCTTATTAAAAAAATTAATTATCAATATATATTTTCGTCATTTTCGATATAATTTATTAGCTGTAAGAAAAAATCATAAAAAATACAGTGTATTAATATGTCAACGGTTTTTAGTCGCAAGCAATATTGATTTCATCATTTATTTATTTTATTTTAATTAACTTCCACCCAACGGACAATTTAGAAAGAGTACAGAGGTATATACAATGTTAAGTACTGCAGATATAATACCTAACTAACAAAAGAAAGTAGTTTAAAGTGGACATAGATAATAAAAAACTAGATACATACAGTGGTTGAATTGGAAAAAAAAATAAAGGTGGACTCTAAATGAAGTTGAACAATTAAGCAAATTATTTTAATAGTAACCCTATATTCCTTGATGAATATAATAAAGGGGTACGCTATAATTTGAAGAAAAATGAAGAGTAGCTCAGTCCCCCTGCGTCCTCCCCCAATTCAACCACTGGATACATAAATATAGATAAGTGGCCCAAGAAGAAAGTAATGGTTACAACGTAAGTATTATTGAAATTTCGAAGCATACGATGCATATGGTGATTTTGTGACCATAAGGAGAAGAGTGGGATGGAACGTAAAGAGATGTGTGATCTCTGGTAGGATAGGATGAAACACTACGGAACAAGATACTAGATAGTATAGAGTCGGAGAATCAAGGGAGCCATTAAGAAGTGAATAAGTGATGAAACAAAATTAATGTCAACAGTAGGTTAATCAACGAATAAACAGTGTTTGGATTATACATAAATGGAAAAAAAATTATGCTAATTCAACTTATGAGTTATGACATAAATTGTTAATATTATAATATGATGAGTAAATAATTAAGGACTATACTCAAGTCAGCAAATTCTCAAATATCATATTTTTTAAAAAGTTATTAGGTACGTTCTAAATTAATTTAATTGAAAAAATATCGAATTTTAAAAAAATTCTAAAAAATGAATTAGGTACTTGGGCTTACATAAATCTTTTTACCATCAAAATTGTTCTTATAATCAGAATCAAAAGTAGGCTATTTTGAGTTTATCCAAAAATTTTTTTATTAAATTAAATTTTTTTTCAGCACTAAAAAACAAACATAAAACAATTTATCATACATAAAAAAAATAACCATTTTTTAAAAATAATAACGAGTAAATGGACTATACTAATATAGTTCATATAAACTGTGCAATCGCAGATAATAAAATTGATTACTATAGTTTATTACGTATTATTTAATCATTTTACTCGTTGTTGCATATTCAGCATTTATATTATATGATATTACACCTATACTGTTTATACTAACAATAATCATAAGTATCATATTACGATCGGTGGGGACTGTCCATCGGTTATTAGCGAGTAGAAATATATTGTACGTCATTACGATTTATACTGTTAACAATAAATGTCTATATAATACGTTTATGTTATTATTTATATTTATAATACATAACACTCGTAATGAACTTTTTTATCGAAGTAGGTAGTAGCACTAGTAGGTACAGACCTAAATAAATATAAAAGCTACCTATATAAGACACGTAGTTTAATAAATAAATAATAATACCTATCATATTGAGAATATTGAGATTACGTTTCAAGAGAACATAATCAAACAAAAACCGGTCACTTTATCACTATTCTTTCTGTAACTATCTTATCTACAAATTTTAATCTTGGTTCAATGTCTGTGTTGTGTGTTTCAAGTTTCAACAGTTCAATTATAAACACTAAAATTCGTAAGTTCATAAGCTGAATTGAAGTTGTATTTTTACGCAGTGAACCGTTTATTTGGATTCTCTTATTGTTATTTTGATCATATTTACATTGAAATATTTTAAGTACTGTTTTGGAAAATGTCTCAAGTAAGAAATTATAAAAAGTCAAATTATCTACATAACATGATTGTTAATTTTGCAACGTTGCAGTTAGATAAAATTGTAGCAGCGTATCGTATAACTACTSAATATCYGGCAWTAATATCTGCTAGAATACTTAATTGCTCAAAAGCTTCTGTTAACGTTCATTCTGTTTGGGTTCAAAGGGTTTTGGAGAGGCAAGCTAAAATCAGGTTCCGGCAAACTGTCTTTTCAGATTATAAGACTTATACTTTAATGTCGCCACCAACTGATATCACTAACGAGTACATACAGAAGATAATATAGTAACATAAAACGAGACAAATCTACTTAATTAAAAATAAACAATATGCATTTAGGTTGATAAGCGCGCACTCAAAATCAACTAAGTATTTTTGTGTGGTTAGAGAAATTGAATCTGGAAATGAAATAAAACAGTACTTAGAAGTATGGGATGATTGTTCTCTGGTGAAAAATTATGACTTGAGTGCTTTAGACGTGCACGGAAAAATTTATGCCGATGGTTAGTATGATGATTATAATATTTACATAATAAATTTATTATTATACATTAAATTTAATGTGATTTGTACATTCTGATTATTGATTTATAGCTGAATTTGGAACTCTAGAGTGGTCTCCTGATGAAACAAAAATTGTGTATATTGCGGAGAAAAAAGTCCCAAAGTCAGAACCGTTTTACAAACAAAAACCAAAAGCATCCGCTGATAAAGATGGGGTGCATAAAAGTGACACTGTGCCGGTTTGTCTACTGATCATTTTTACTACTATGAGTAGTATTTGTACTTAATTTTAATAATAATAATAATGTATATGTAGGGTAAACAATATGATTGGAGCCAAGATTGGGGTGAACAGTTGGTCGGAAAGATTACTCCTGTTTTGGTGGTATGTGATATAAAAACAGATACTATAGATGTTCTTCCGAATATTCCAAATGATGTTAATCCTGCAACTGCAACATGGACACCTGATGGAAAAGGAGTTGTGGCAATTGGATATACAATAACACCTCGTAAATTGGGTCTCATTTACTGTACCAATCGTCCTAGTCATGTATTTTCTCTCACGTTAAATGGTCAATATAGTAAGTTTATATTATTTATATTTAAAAATTACCTTTCTTAATTTATAGTATTACACTTATAATGTATCAATGAGTTCAATTGTCATCTTTTCAATTCAGTGTCGGCCTGGGATCTAAAGGGCCCATAAGGCAATTTTTTYAAAGGGCCTCTCAAAAATACCCCTTTAACTTTTTTGTTAACAGCTTTTACTGTAGTAAAAAATGTTCAAAATGTTAACAATAATTCTATATTTATACAATATATAATCACAAAATGTGATATGCATAAAATTTAATTAAATAACTTAACAGAACTAGATTGTTGTATTGATTAATTTATATTAGTTAGTAGTCCTTTTAATAAATTTGATGAGTTAGCCACATTGTCAATCAATTTCCTCGGTCGATTACTATATCTTTTTCTACAGCCAATATCATTAACAGACCCAAATTTTCTTGTTTTAAAGTTGATCGTAATTTTGTTTTTATAATCTTTAATTTTGAAAAAATTCTCTCGCACGAAACTTGTGTAGATGGTAAAATTAATACAAATTTGTAAACTATAAATGAATTTCAAAATAGATTTGATTGAAATGATAATTCTGAAATCATTACAAAAGCACAATAAATACAATTTCTGCATTTATTACAATCAGGTTTTTTTGTTACTTCATCTTCACTCTCAGTATCATTAGATGATTTATTTTGAGTATTTGTATTATTTTTGTAATTTAAATCAATAGAAGATAATTCTGGTAGGAAATTTTTAAATTGGAATCAAATTGTTTTAGCTCCAAGCATATTACTTGTCTGTCTACTCCTGCCAATTCACAAATAGTTTTTAAAGCATCATTTTATTCCATTGACTCAATGTTGGAAAATGTTTTTGGGTCTAACCAATTGCAGTCTCTGAGTAAATTTGAGTAATCAATGGCTTGGGTATCAGCACGCAGTACGCACACAATCGGTAAATTTACATTATACACTTGTATTTAAACATTTTCAACAAATTAAATAAGGCCTCATCTTGAAAAATACAGGTTGGGGCCTCAGAGGCGATCGCCTCCTAGCCGCCTGGGCCAGGCTGACACTGTTTCAATTACATTTTTAGTTTCTATTTTGTGAACCAAATTCTGTATTCTTAATAATACATTTGAAAGATTGGCTTTACTTAGTATATATAATATAAAAGTTGATATATTTTGGGTCAGGTAGAATATATACTAAATTACTTTATATTAAAATTGATTCTGTTTATGTGATAAGTAAATACCTGTAAGTTCTTATAATAATACTATAAAAAATTAAAAACTGGCGGGTGGCTGTCGTCGTACCCCGGACCTCGCCCTGCCTGTAGACAGTGCTTCTCATTCTATGCGACCATCTGTTGCAATTCGAGTCGGCAGCACGTAACTATTGATGCTATTGTTCAATTTAAAATGTTATGCTCTTCTGTAGACAACATTCCACGTTTATACAGTATATTGGGGTTTTTTTGTATTATTGCATTTGCATTTGTAATAGTTGGCAAGGAAGGTCAATATTAATTATTATAATAAATATTATTTTACATTATTTCAGCTGTGTTGAGTTCCAATTCAGAACAATTATCTGTGAAAACTCCTAAATTCAATTTGAATGGCACAAAACTTGCTTGGTTAGAACGCTTAGCAGGTGGACCACATCATTCATGCTTTAAATTGATGTCTTGTAATTGGTCAACAAAAGAGGTTATTTATTTTTTAAATCTTTGAAAATTGCCATAACACTATAAACTAATATTATTGTATCATAAATTCAGATAACTACGGTTGTTGATTTTGACGAGAAAATACTACAAATCAATAATGAACAATTGCCATTCTATGGTTTGTATAATCAAGCTATACCAAGTAGATGTTGGCTGAATGATGACAAAACCATTGTGCTAAGCACTCCTCAAGGAGGTTCGGTACATACATTCGCTATTGATACTGGTAATAGTTGTACTTTATTGGTTGATAATAAATTATACAATGTTTTATATTCAAAATATTATTTTTGAGATCCAATTTTTTTTAAATTTTCCAGAGTCAAAAGATATTCATTATCTTCCAATCACAAAACCATTTCATGAAAGTAATAGTGTATTAGACGTTTGCAATGATGTTTTAGTTTGTTATAAATCATCRCTTAATAAGCCTGGACAATTATTTGTAATCAAGCTTCTTTCTACATTTGAAGCTTATGATTTTACCAATATTTCCATCCACGAAATGTCACCATCTCTTAGTCTTCCTAATAGTGAAATCTTTGTTGTTGAGCATGGTTATACTCTTTACAGTAAGATCTAAATAATTTAAATTAATTATAGRGATTTAAAATAAATATTTGATTTATTTATAGATAAACCAACTACAATTTTCTATGGGCCTAAAAACAATAACTGTCCTTTGATTATATGGCCACATGGTGGCCCTCATGCATCATCTTTGGACTCTTTTATTGCCGACGCTGCATTCTTTATTCAAATAGGTAATGTCAAAGAATAACAATATTTTATCGATTATAGTAATAATTATAGTTGTTATTTAATGTTGACGTATTAGGTTTTCCTGTGTTATTTATCAATTACAGAGRATCGACTGGCCTTGGTAAAGGTTATGTTGARTCATTACTTGGTAAGATAGGTGATGCTGATGTCAAAGATGTTTATAATGCAGTTCAATCCAATCCTTTATGGTCTAATAGAAAATTAGTGTTACATGGTGATTCACATGATGGTTTTTTGGTTACACAATTAAGTGGACAGTATCCAGTGAGTTCTTACATTACTGCAGAGAATACTTAATAATGAACGGTATATCTAATTTAAATTGTACACTGATTATACAATTTAATATTTGATATAATGTTTACCGTGTGACCGTGCACAGTGCATACTGCATAGGGTTCATCTTTCAGTAATAATTTTAAATTTTATTAATATTATTGCAGTCTGAGTTTAAAGCAGTGTGCGCTTTGAATCCTGTTACTGATTTGATTACTATGTTTGGGACAACTGATATCCCTGAATGGTACGTTATATTTATAGCAGAC